CTTAAAATCCCACCAAATAGAGCATTTCTCTTTAAGAACTCGTGGAATTCATATATCGAGCTTTGAAACGAAACCAATTTGTTTCAAGTACTCATAAACAGTTCAATTTGACAAATTTAATCTCTTAGTGATTTCACGTGTTGTTATTCCACAGTTTGCTTCAATCGGTACTTTTATTTTGTTTTCATTGGCTTCAATTGGCCATCCATAACGTGGTGTATCTTCAATACTGAAATTGTGAGAACGAAATTTTGTCAACCAGTTTTGGCACTGTCGTTTTGTCAACACATCTCCACCATACATGTCACACGATTTTTTTCTCGCTTAAACAGCATTTTTATTTTTTTGGTAATAAAAAAAACAAAATATGCCGCTTTCGATCTTCCATATTTGATGGGACACAAAAAATAAACAATTGCATGAAATTAAACAATTTTTTACAAATAAGCCATAAAATGCTAGCTGTCAAAATATATAATGATAATACAATTTAGAACGAAAATTGCAGGAAAAATACCACTAATCCGTCTAGTGGTAAAAAAACGAACTTACTTTTCGAACAACCCAATAGATTCATAAAATGTTTTACTTTAATTTAAATATATTTTCTATGCCTTTTTTATAAATTAAAAATTTGAAGAATGTCTATACAAACAGGAAAAAAGTATATAATATAAGAATTTATATTTTGAAATTATGCATAATTCATAAATTTTTATATTTTATTATTAATTTTAGAGTTGATGAAGTTTATGATTTCTTTCAATATTGGGCACCTCATTTGTATGGAGATATAACTGATATTGATCCAGAAAAATTGGGATTTATACCTATTAATGAAGAGGAGGAAGATGATGATATTGAATTATTGGATGAAGAAATTACTCAGGAATCTGGAAAAAGTTTTGAAGGTGCAATGAAATTAATTAGATCAAGTCCTCTTAGTATTTTGAAAGTTGTTGAAGATCATTTTGGGGGAAATAATATTACAAAAGAAGATTGGGAGGTAAGACAAATAAGAAAGTTATTCTCAGTTTGTTGAATATTTTATTAAATTTTATAATTATTAACAGTTTTTGTCAATGAATGAATCTAATACATCTCCAAGTGCAGAAAGTGCTGAGATTTCATTACCAGACTTATCTGAACAGTCTGATATTTTAAATGACAAAGAAAAAAGAGAAGTGAGTATTTCATGTTCCATTTTAAACTTTTTTACTTGTTTCCAATATCATAACTTTTTATAAGTTTTAAGAATTTACATTTAAAAAATTTTTTAATTTGATGTACAAGGTTCCTCTTTTTCAATCAAGTTTTTAGATTCCTTTCTTATAAACCAAAATCATCAGATTTTGATTCAAAAAATGTTTATTTCTGGATAGCTGCTTTTGAATTAAAATTTTTTCCTTTAAAACTTTTGAACAGGTCAAGAGGTGGTAATTTGTAGGTATCAGATAGTGGTTATATGGGAGATGAGGGAGATTGTTCCACAAAATTCTCCCTCATTCCCCATAGAACCACAAAAACATATTGTAGCATTATTGTGTAACAAAATAACAACCTTTGTGTTTATGAAAAACATCCATATTTCACAAACATGAAGGGTATTATTTTAAATAAAATTATAAGTGAAAAACGAACTAAAGATTTGTCACAAAATTCTGTATCAAATATGCTACTTTATACAATCAGCAATTGAAAAAACTTTATGAAAAACATCCATATTTGACAGTTTTTTCAATTGCTGATAGTATAAGGTAGCATATTTTGATACAGACTTTTGTGACAAATCTTTAGTTTGTTTTTTACTTATAATTTTGTTTTTAAAATATTTTGAATTAATAGAAATATAATAATAAAGGGTTAGTCTTGTAAAAAAATTTTTACTTGGCTAGTTCTTCAATTGAAACATGTAATCCAGCAAAACTTTTACTTGACATAAGTTTAGTTCATTATATTGTTGGAGACCTTTTGAGAATACACAACTAACTTTATTAGCAGTTATACAGTTAATTTATTGCCCTATTCTTGTTTTTGCAGTAATTTAAGTTTTCACTGCAACAAATTTTGTTTTCAAACTGGAGTTTTGGTGTTTGGGTGTTTTTTTATAAGGCTAAATAATTACTAATTATGATTGCCAATTTACTTAGTAATTATTTAGCTGTAATAGCCTGATAAAGGAAAGGCTGCTTTTTTGATATTTAATTTATTTCTTAAAATTACTTTCAAATTTATATTTCATAAGTGTTTTTAAAAATCATTGACTATATAGTAGAATCCAGCTTTAATTCAGCACTTATAGGGCCAGAGGTGCCAGATTTTTTTTCTGGACATTGCTGTATATTTTGTACTAACATAAGCTGATGTGTTGTTTTTGTTTGTTTATACTGTTTAATTGGTCTGAAGATGAGATACAATTATATTGTATCTCATCTTCAGACCAATATAATTGTATCTATCTTTCAGATGAATTGTATTACAGTATAGTGCATGAATATACTGTATCACAATTAATTTGAAAATGTGTGAAAAATTATTAAAAACCATTAATGAACATGTTTGTGTAAAATCAACCTTCACAATGATTCTTGTGCATATAATGTAATATTTATTGTCGAGACATGTATTGTATATGTAAGATTGACAAAAACTGCATGTGCTCAGAATATTAAGTGTTTTTAGATGCATTATCTTTGTATTGGCTGTGAGGAAGAAAAGAAATCAGTCACATGTTACTGAACCCAAAACATGAGCTGGCTGTAATGATGCAAAGTTTAACTTAATCACAATATAACATAGACTACATATAGTTTATTGAATTTGCTGCCAGAGAGTGCCAGATTAAGAAACTCCTGATGTAATTAAAATAACTAACATTAAATAATATAAATTTATCTAAAACTTAAATTCATTTAAATGTTAATTATGTATTAATTTTTCCTTTTAGCTTTGCAAGCATTTACCAGCAAGAGCACTTGGTTATTGTTGGACTCTGATTTATAGTACATCAAAGCATGGTTTCAGTCTAAAAACATTATACAGAAAAATGTCTAATGTTGAATCACCTGTCTTATTGACAATTTCAGATACAAATGGTGCTGTAAGTAAAATTTCATGAATTCATTCCAATTGTTGAATAACTCTACTTTAAGAAAAAATTTTATTATTATTATTATCTTACCAGCACTTTGAAATGATTTAATCCAAAATTATTTGGAGTAAAAGTGTGTGTAAAAAATTCAGTCATTGTCTAAATATGAATATAAATTGTCTGTTTAGCAATAACATAGTAATTATTTTTAAATTCTTAAGTAATGTTAAAATAATTATAAATTTAGGTAATAGTTGAATATCTGCAATTGTTACTAATTTGTACTTTACTGTATTAAAACATTGTTCTGGAATTTAGGAGAATAACTTAAAAATCTTCTCCAATATTTCAATGAATTCTCTTATCTTTTGCATTTTCATTAGTTTTTTGGAATTAGGCCTCTACATGAAAATATAGAATTATATTGTTATCTATAGTCTAAAGTCTTTGCTTAATGGAGGAAATTTCCATCGTTATTAAGCACTTTTATTAGCCTAGCTGATTTTTATTTTAATATATCTAAACTAATATTTTTTTCCTTTATGATAAAGTTATTAAGGGAGTAATTCTTATAGTGGTATCAAAAGTAGAATCATAATCCTAATAATTATTGGCCATAAGACTGTGTGGGTAAGAGTAGTTCTGGTTTTATTTAAATTTGGATTATGTAAGTATGGATTTTTAGGATCAAGATATTATCAAATGACAGAATTTAGTATTTTATTTGTATATATTTATAATTTATTTTTGTATTCTAAAATGAGATTACTTAGTAGAACTTATTTTTTTCAAAGCATTCCTATGTTTGTGAAGTTTAAAGAACTAATTTTTTGATGTGTGATATGTAAAAAAAAATTACAGAAGTAATGTAGAATACAGAAGGCATGTTATACTATCTATGATAGAATTTTATCTTAATCATTGATTATTTGAATTGATACTTCTCAGAACATACTTACCACATATCAACTAGACAAAATTTTTTATTTAATTAATGTTTTGTGTTAAAAATAATTTAGTTTATAAAAAAAAACAAAGAAATACTTAAAATTCAAAAGAATTTTGAAATTAATTTTGAATTCAGGTATTTATTTCTTAACTATTAAATACATGGCTTTCTTAAATTTGGTATATATTTACTCTAGTCATCTATTCAGTGGTGGATTTCTGCACAGGTGCATGAGATGCACAGTAGGTGCCTCAAAAATCAAGGGGACCTCAAACGCTGAAAATAAAAAAATTATTTTATTTAATTATTATTTATTTATTCAAACCTTAACGTTCTCATCTTGCCCCACCTTCCCCTANAAAAATCAATTTCTTTATTCACTTTATCAATCAGCAAATTTCCAGAAAACCCAAAAGATGAAATTGAATACTTAAAATAGAATTAATTATAACAAATGTTCAAAATGTTTTCCATTATTTACCAAACAATAATGAAATCTATTGTAATAATTTTCAAATAAATTTTTATTATTCATGGATTACTAGATTTTTTGTTTTTAACACTTACCTATTGAAACTTAATAATTATTGTACCAATAAGTTTCAATTTTCATAATACAATCTGAACATCAGTAACCTTTTAAATATAGCTAGGCAGTTGTAATTTTATATATGTTAATTTTTAATGTTATTTTCCCATGTCTCACTTTTCTTTGGCCCACCGGTATAATGTCTACCAAAGTAAAAAACATGTACATAAAATACACACTATAGGGTTTGGGGGTAGTGAAAATATTTAGAGGGCCTCAAAATTGGATTGCACCACGGGCCTCTCAAGTGTTAAATCTGCCACTGCATCTATTTATTTAATAATTTAAATAAATCCATTTTTTTTAAGATAGAAAACAGTTCATACAATGCCTTGCATAGTTGTATTTGAAATAAGATGTTCTGTTTTAAAAAGAAAATTTAAATAATATGCATATATGTTTGTAATGGAAATACTTGATAACATTTTAGATAATAGCATTTATTATGAAATGCAAAAGGGAAAAAACTATAATATGAAGTAATTATATATACATGCAGGTAAAATTATATTTTTACATGAAGCAAACAAAATTATTCATTCATCAATGCTTATTATGAGGGTGGTTTTTCAACCTCTGATGGTCCATAAAACAAAGACAATTGTAAATAACAAAATGAATTCATTACTAAAAGTTAGGTACAAACATTATTACTTTTCAACATAATCACGTGAAGATTGAGGCATTTGTCATGTGTGGATGAGCTTTTTCCATCCCCTCTTCATAGAATGTTGCTGCTAGTGAATTGAGATGGGTCCTAATGTTGTTTTTGAAAATCATTAGTGTCAAACCTCTGCTCTCCTAGCTACATTTTCAGTTCAGGAAAGAGGTTGAAGTCACTCAGTGCTAAATCCAGGCTATACAGTGGGTGTTTAAAAAATTCCAAGCAAAAATTCCTTTAATGTGTGAAGACTTCCACTTTGACATTCTATGAAGAGGGGTTGGAAAAGCTTGTTCACAGATATGACAAATGCCTCAATCTTCACTGTTATGATATAACCATGTTTTTACCTAACTTTTGGTAATAAATTCATTTTGTTATTTACACTTGTCTTTGTTTTATGGACCATCTGAGGTTGGAAAAAACTGCCCTCATACAATTATGATTTGCATGTAATAAAAATATAAATGTATTAATGCAGATATTTTGTGGAAATTATTAGGATTCAAAAATGTAACTGCTACCAGTTGGATAAATGTTTTTGCTATTATTCAAGGGGCTATGACTGAGAAATTATTAGAATGTAATATCATTAGTTCTTAATTTTGGTAAAATCTATTAGTTTTTATTTAAACTTGTTTTCAAAAATTTTGAAATACAGCATATACTTAAATTAATTTGAGTATTGGAATGAATGAGATGCTTAGTTTTATACACAATTAAAATTTGCTAAACACACAAATGTTTCCTTATACAGATATTTCCTGTATCACTATTAAGTGAAAGTCTCCTCAAAGCAAAGGCCTTTTTTTTTCTCTCTTCACTTTTCAGTATATATAAGTCTAAAAACATATTTGCACTAGCATTTATTAAGAATTCAATCACAAAAAGTCTATAAAAACATTGAAATAATAAAATAAATGATTTTTAAATGTACTGTTGTTTATGCTGTGACAGAAAGATGACTACTTAGTTTCTTCAAACTTTTAATTTTCTATACTACATTATTTTATTTTTACTAATAGGTATTTGGAGCCATGTCTTCATGTCCTCTTAAGATCAGTGAGCATTTTTATGGTACTGGGGAATCCTTTCTGTACAGTTTCTACAATGGATTTAAGGTATTTTATGTAAATTCATTATAATTTTATCACAAAAATAACTTTTGCATTAATACACCTTATGCATATAAATAAATAGTAGTATATACATTGTGTGTAATACCTTATATTAATTATTGTAATTGATTTTTAAAGCATTATCCATGGTCTGGTGAAAATATGTACTTCATTAAAGGAAATATTGAAAGTCTTGCCTTTGGAGCTGGAGAGTAAGTTAAATATCATTCTTAGTTTTAAAAAATTTAAACAATACAAATGTAAAAATTTTGAATTTTGAGAACTCATTTTACAATTGTTGTAATTTAAAACTTTTTAAAATATTAGAGGTCATTTTGGTCTCTGGCTGGATGGTGATTTGTACCATGGTCGTAGTAGCAAATGCAAGACTTACAACAATGATTGCCTTTCATCCCAAGAAGATTTTGTTATAAAAGCATTGGAAGCCTGGGGATTTGTTTGAATACTCATTCTTGTTAACCTATTGTTGATCAAACCACAATGGTTTTAAGATGTGCATTTTATCAATACAATGGATTTTGTACAAATGATGTAATTACTTGTTGAAAAAGCCAAAGTATTCTGAGAAATATCTGCTTTGTTAAACTCTTGCATATGAGATGTAATTTACGATAGATTTAAGAGAATATACTATATAAATATATATATATTATATACATATTCATCTAGATGATGATAGGCTTTTTGAAAAGCCTTGCTGTTTTGTACAGTCCTGAATGTGTTCATTGTTACTGTGTGCACATGAACCATCATACATTAGAAGAATGAAATGTTTTCTTAGATTAAAATATGTAGCATTATACTAGAACTTATATCATATTAGTTCTTAGTGCTATATATTTAGTAAAAAACTGCTCCAATAATACTATATATCTATATAAATGGGATGGTTATGTAGAATTTTTACACTTAGGCAAACATACAGATATCAGTTGATGTGAGAAATGTTTTAGTTTGAAAAGAATTAGTCAAAACTTGATGTCAATGTAGAGTGATAGATCAACTCAAAATATGTGTAATGTGTAGAACTAGTTCATTTTGAAACTGTCAAGAAACAGTTAAGTCTTTCAATTTTATTTTTATTGAATTAACTCAAGTATTTTTCATCTATATAAAAAGTGTAATGTCTAAATTTTTGTTCTATGCAAATTCTTTTGTTTTTAAAAGTATATTGTCACAATAACTCAAAGTAGGCATGCAGTTGTTTTTTTGCTTTGATAAATTCAGTTAAGCAAATACTCCACCACTAGCTCAAAATATTTTCACACTTTTTTTACTCTGATACACAGCTTTTTAATGCATGAGTTACTTTACAAGACATGTTTAGAAATATTTGTATATATTGTCACAAAATATTAAATAATATTACAGACAATCTTATTGTGGTGTGCAAATTAGGATTCACAACAATGATAGAATATTTATGTCTGCTTAAAAATAATTAACTTTGCAAATATAATGTTTTATATAGTCAGAGATTATTGTGAAAAATTGTTTTCCTTCAGATTTAAAAATCCTTCATAGTTTTGCACTTTTATACACCCATTCACACCGAAAGTGTAGAAAGCACACTGTATACAAAATGTCTTTATTTCCATTATTGAATGTATTGCTAATAATAGAAATGTTTCATACAGTTAAAATACCCCATATTTTTACACTCATTGCCCATGTTTAGCATATTATTTGTTTGAGAGTAATGGCAGCTATTATATATTTATTGATATATTAAAAATTAGGGCTTGTCTTGAAAGAAATGTTGATCCATTTAATATAAAAGAAACTGGTTAGAAATGTAACCAACAAATAGAACCGTATCATAACCAATAACCTATTAATATAGGAAACTGTATATATGATATATGTTACGTGTTAATTTGAAAAATGAAATGGGTGACTTAATTTGCTACCTCTGGGGCATTACCCATAGCTTACAAGCATTGTGATTTAGATGAAAAAGATGTAAATGTTTTTTGATTTAAATTTAGTATGTCTTTGTTTTATATGTATACAAGTAAGACATTTATCACAATGAAAATTGTCTGAATTGTATACAGAAATGTATTCTGAAGAACCATTAATATGTTGAAAATTTGTTGTTTTGAAATTTTCCAGCAAAACCTGGAAAAAATAGTTAACTTGATTAAAAAACAAAAAAATATATTATATACAATATAGGAATGTATAAATAAATCACATTCTAATTGTGCAATAATCATTTTGTTTTATTTAATATATTCATTCTCATTTAATTACATTTTTTTATATAATTTGAATTCATCTGTTATCTTTCTTAGAATATTTCTTGAAATACAAAAATTTTAGAATATTAACCATAATCTAACATAACACGAAGATAAAAATAATAATTTAGACATTTGACCGAATTGGAACTAAGCTTGGAAGTTCAACCATTGCTACATCTACGCTGATTCTTGGAAGTTGATTACGAAATGGTCGAGAAGTAGCTGTAGAGTAAGAAGGGGGTGGAGTATACTTTGGAGGTAAATCTACTTCACGTAATACAGTACTTCTACGATGTAATATCATATCACCAAGTGAAAATCGGCGGATCTGTTAAAGAGTAAAATATTAGCTAATGAATGAATAAATGAAAAAAAAAGTCAAATTGCTAATTGCTAACCTCATCTGAACTATTATAACTACGAATATAGTAAAAAATTTGAATGAAAAGTATGCAAAATATGATTGTAAGCGGAAGTATGTGTGCTGCTAGTCCTAAGTAAGTAGTCCACCAAGGCCATAACTTTTTATTATTATTCCAGGGAAAATTTATTTCCAGTTGGCTGGATCGAAGAAATAAAATACATAAAATCTGGAAATGAAGTTGTATATTAATTTTATATATTTTGAATTTACTATGTTATATAACCTATTTTTGTTAGAGATTTTTTTTCTTTAACATATCAGATTACTTAATAGGTTAATTTGTTTCATTATAATGTTTTTGTTTTTATGTGTGTTAAATAAAATTTTTAAAATCCATCTTCTGCAATATAAAACAAAACTGCTTTGATGCATACATATATATAATTTTTAATACTATTATGTTTATAATACTATATATGTTTAATTTTTCAATAACATGTCTCAATGAAGAGCAGTTTATTAATTAAGTAATTTAAAAAACAAAAATGCTTTTCTTTTGTTTTATATTGTGGAATTCAGTAAATGAAGAAAAATAAGAATTCTTTACTATTTTAATTATTTTTTTTTCTTACTGAAGTAAAATAAGTTTAAGAATATGCACTAATTATTAAAACAGGAAACTGAATAATATTTTCACTATGTTAATACACACCAAATAGCCAATTGGTAGAAAAATATTCCATAAGAGCATCAGAACTGAAGAAATATAAATTCCATAGGATTCAATAAGTGAATCCTGAATGTTTTGTATACTGTAAGGTTTTCCTTTTAAAAAAAAAATTGACAGTAATATTCATCAATATAATCTGGAATGAAAAATCCTGACAAATTTTTGATACTGCTATTTACCTTCAGTGAATAAAATTGTGATTAACATAACAAAAAAAATAAAAAGACTTGACCATAATGAACCAACACAGCAATCTAAGAAATAAATAGCAGAAATTCCAACCTAAAGATAAAAAAAATTTTTTATTTAATATTAATTCATATATAAAAAAGCAAAATAAACTTACTTTAAATTATTTCAGTGACCTGATAGTGCTGTTTCCTCAAACTTATCAGGCACTGAAATAATAATTTCATACAACTCTAATAAGAAGCTAAATGAAGAAACTTACTTTAGTTGCCATAGGAAGAGAGAGAAAATAACCAGCAACACACAATGCAAATGTTGTTAATATCTCCCATTTTTCTAGTAACTTACAATTGATGGTTAAAATGGAATTTACTATACACCACCACACTGATACCTGAAGAATATTATATAGATAAAATTGAAACAAATCAATTTAGTAATATATTAATAGTTATAATAGTTTAGATACTTACATGCTGTCCTAAGGCAAATAAGATGATGGAGAAATAAAAGCAGATGGCCCAAACCTGAGAAAGATTAAGAGGACCATTTACACTTAAAATTGCAGGAAGTAATTCAGTGAATAATCTGGTGACTTGATAGCCACTGGTTTTATCACTGTCCAATTTTGCATTTACAGAACAATCTCCAACCAGAAATCCTATTATTTTTGAATGACTTGAAGTTTTGTTCAAGATAGAAACGAGATTTTCTGAAAAAATAATCCCCAATTTATCTGAAATTTGTAAAATACCAATTATAACAAGAACATTATTATTATTTACCATATGAAGAATGTACATAGGATATGTTCTGCTTATACAAATTTTCAAAAATACAAGAAAACACAAAGCAGGAAATCAATAACGAATATATTATAAGGAAAACGACAGTGAAAAAGCTCCTATAATAAAAATTTGATTTAATAAATTTGCATACATGAAATTCATACATATTTACAATAACAAACCTGGTAGCAAAAGTGGCAGTTCTATTCAAACTACAGATTTGAAGTATAACGTTAGAATATAAAATCCAAATTAGCACCATTTCTCTAGCTGCTAACAGCCAGGACTACAAAAATATAAAGTTTTTTAATTTTATTATCCTAGCAAAATAAATTTAAAAAGTTTTTTAGGTACCCAAGCATCTCTAAAAGATTCTTTCCAGGGAGCATCGAAAATTTTGTGTATTCCTGAACTGCTATCTTGAAGAAACCTTAATAGAACTAATGTTAGAAGAATCACAGGGATCAAAGTCAAGAAATAAATTATCTGAAAATAAGTACATTTTACTTTTATTAAGATATAAAAAGAAACAAACATTAAATTTAGACTAACCTTTCCAAAACTTCGCAATCCATAACATAAACAGATGAATATTAAAATCCATATTATAGCTAGATTGAAAGACTGTTCAAATTCTAAAAGCTGGGCATCCTGACCCCTTTTCTGTATAATATTACTGAAAAATAGTTAATGAAATGTTAAGCTTTAATGATTAATATCTTATTTACCCTTATTATTATTCTACACGTAACTATACCTTAGATTTTGTATAAGACCTGAATATTAAATTCAAATACAAGGTGGGAAAGAAAGTCACTTAACACTTGCTACAAAATATAGAATGTACTGTACTGTACCTTCTATATTTTGTAGAAGGGGTGTTAAGTGACTTTACCAACCTGTATAATAAAAACAAGACATTACGTGTTGAAATTGTTACTCCTCTACTGATAATCATTTTAGTGTAGAATACTGTGATATCGCATTTGACGTATAGAATCTACTTCAACCCAGATATTCATATTAGCCTAATAGTTTTTCTTTAGTCTAATGTTTAAATATTAATTAAACAAAAATAATTCCTTTCTACATTAACTTGTTTTCTATCGTTTAAACTTTAACAGTAGTAATTTGTTTTTACATACAGTCGGGTACACGACAGTTGGGTGACATTTAAAAACTTTGCATGCTTAGCAAGCATACGATTTGGATTTTTTTTTTTGGTAAATGTTAGTAAAATATATGTAGTTATAAATGAAAGTAGTCCAAATTTTCTGATTTTAATAAATAGACTATGAAAGTTTAAAAAAGAGTCTGGATCAGTAGCAGGTTTTCAATATCAGCATAAACATGAACTTTACGATGAAATTGACCAAGGAATTTTGAGAAAGTTCTAAAATACGATAGGAAAAATATAAATAGATGTATTGGATATAATTATTGCATATAACTACAGTATAATATGAATTAAATTTAAAATAATAATTGTTTTGGATTTAATGTACTTTTTTTTTATTTTAATGTTAGAAACATTTACGCACGTTTCTAAGTTACAAAATATTAATAAATGAATTAAAGAACTGTACTTTTCTTTTATAAGAAGCAATTACGTATTAAAACATACAGTACACGTGATCTGCGCTGTTTATATACATGTTCTCCTCTCGAGAGGACAAGTGATTACGCCAGACTTCTGAGGTCACGCGACCTTACTTTAAGGCGGGTACTGTAATTTTTTCCTAAGCCCTATTAAAAAGGGCTCGGAAATTTCGAGCGTGTTCACATTTTTTCAGCCAGGCCTACTGTATTTCTGGGAATAAGTGAAAGTAATGAGACTGGTAAATATCATGGTGCCCCAGTTCGAACCGCCTCTTGGAATGAATTGAATTCGAAGTCCGAATCAATTTTTCCCTTTAGAAATGGTGAAAGTGAATTAATCCATTAATAATAATACCCATTTCAACGAACTTAAAACAGCAAATACACAACATTTGAGATTTAAAAAAATTACACATTAAATGCCCTGATATAAAAACGCGAGAACAAGTAAAATACGTAAGTACTGTATAATATGAAAATTGAATTTATTGGTCTCGTGTATTGTTTTTATGCTTCCCAATAACTTCCCCTTATCTTAATCGTCGATATTATTTATACCTTCCTCTATAAATAATCCGTTAAGATCCGTTGCTTCCACGCATTTCTGGATGTCATGTAAATTAAGTGAAAGTTTTATATTGGCGAACATCGTTCTAAATTATGCTGCTGCCGCCAATAGCCGGAAGCTCAATTTGTGGTATTTTCTGGTCGTAATTACAAATCATTAAGTTATATTGGATTGAACAAAATTTTTGCGTATTTTTAACAGTCCCGGTTACTTAACGTAGATATGTGCTTTAATTACAAAACTGTTGTGAAATTTAGCACATTACTGTTAATGAGAGATTGTGTTCTTTACAAGATTATTTTAAAGTTTTTACTTCACATTTTGTTTGAATAAAAGGATGTTAAAATGTCTTCAGATAAGAAACATGTCAGGCTTATTGTGAGTTTCGGAAAGGATAACGCCTTATAAACAAACAAAAAAACAATAACACAAACACCGGTAAGTAATGTTTAGAACTAACTTTTTTTTTCTTGATTGCTTTACTGAATGATGTAAAAATGTAAAGAATTTTCTACATTTAAGATGACTTAAATTTATTCATTTTTAAACGAGGTAACAAAAATATAATTTTATTCTAGCTATATTTTATTTATACTCACTTTAAATAATACGGAATGGATACAGATAGATTTTGTATAATTGATTGATTTTGGTTGCATTCTGAAAATTAATAATACCTTTTAAAATGTTTAAAAATTTTATTATTAATAATTAAAAATATTAGTACTGTTATGATAACAAATGCTCCATTTGTAATTATCTTCTGCTGATATGAAAGAATCTTTAAGGTATGTCAGCATCCACGAAGTGGGCAAGGTGGTGTAGGTGCCAATTATAGAATAAAAGTATAGTAAAGTTATACCGATACCTTCAAAAGTAAAATCGGAAATCAATAACTATTTTAATAAATATTTCGCGTAACTTTAGAACTGACTTTGTACAAACCTTTGAAGGTAAAGGAGATTTTCCACGTAACAGTTTCCGTTTCTCCTAACGAATTCCCGAAGAGCATAATTAAATACAAAAACGGAAGGCCAAAAATGATCGATAATATTAAGAACTGTATAATAAAAGGACCTGTACGGAAAGAGAAACTGTTCAGTTCATCCATGACAATTTAACACGCTTGACATTTTGAATCGTTATGCAACGGGACGAACCGACGTTTACTTTCTAAAAGGTTTCGCTTTAAATTTGAACGACGAAAAAGAAATTTAGACATACCTTTATAGACGTAGACTAAGTATGAAAATCTGTTCATATTATAAAGACCGAAAATGCTACTGAAACATGCAAACATGTGTGACGTTTGGTGTGGCCACGATCTTCGCTTCGCTGGCGATTGTTCCGTTTGAGATACGTCGCTAGACGACATCTCCTTACGGTAGCGCAAAGGTAATGAATAAGTAAAGGAGCAACGTGGGTGACAGTCAAATCTTGTGATGTAACTCGATAAACTTTAAACTTATCGTTTAAATGCTGCATCATTCGATAGTATATTATTAAAGGTAATTTAAATTTGCTGACTGCAATTGAATTCTGTTTGTCATTATGTAAATTTATCGTAGTGAAGAACTTGGCTTATCACTATTCTGATTTATGAAGTCAAAATTAATATTCTAAAAAACAAATTTTATATGGACTAATGTTTTTTTTTCCGTGAGATGTAGTTGTTTTCAATACAACTGTTTAACTGACGTTGGTCAGTTAATCACTTAAAATAATTTGACGATTCTAGATAAAAAAGAAAGAGGAAAAAAGCGTTTCAAGGAAGTGTTTCAGAATCTCTTGAATCCTTTCGATTCTGTAATGCGCCATAATACATACTGAAATTTGCCATTTCTTGAAATGCTAGCACATCCTGTAATAAACCACAAAAAATAGACATAATGTCACTTGAAATGCTAACTATCAATAAATAACGCGAAACCATTCAGCTGTTTTTGTTTTTATATTGTAACATGCAGATTTCTAGATACTGGAAATATGTCCACGATGACAATTGTTACATTCTTTAAGGTATTTTTCATTTTTGGATCTTTCATCCTGCGAGTACTATCGGGTATTTTTTCAGGTTAGAATGGGGGTTGGCCGGATGACAAGGGACGAAACCAGACATATCCAAGACACTTGAAATCACGACGTATCAGTCCAAGAAAACATCCCGGAGAATGCACGCCTGGATTCAATGCAGGTTCTCCCAGACCGATAATCTGATGACTTAATCTTCTCGGCTATCCGGCCGTCGCACTTTCGATACCCATCTGTGTAGTCTATTTATACAGCGAGGCCAACATCTATATATATATATATATATATAAATGGACATGTCTGTTCCTACAGGGCCGGATCATCGCATAGACAAATGAGACAAATGTCTAGGGCCCGGTTTTTAGAAGGGCCCGGTCAAACTCTATTTTGAAAAGATTTGTAAATAAGATAGATTACTCTTCTGTTGGACAACTGTATAATACTGGTAAAACTGGTACAATATTATATTATTTAAATATTAACCAAAAAGGTTAAATTAAACAAGTAAAACGGCAAAACCGTATTTGGGATGGGACACGACTATGTCTCGGAGACACTACTAAGCGGAATCACTTTGACGCTCAAAGCGGATCTCTTTCTCATTCTCCAATCTTCTTTGGTATCGCTGCTTTTGGGCGCGATCGTTCAAACTTCGCCAGCCACGACCACCAGGTCGTCCACCATGCATTTTCGATGAAATTAACCTATCCAATTTCGAAATTTCTCTCCGTTGCGTGTCGGCCCGGGTTGAATTTTTGTC